TTTCTCGAGTTAATAGTTTACCCGCCAAAATCTTCACTAGCCCGTAGGTGGTATCAGAGAGCGCGAGAACGCTGAATTTGAATGGGCAAGGTTGAGCCTGGGTAGTGGGTCATTACCCTAAAATTTCAGCCTCCTAGGCTCCGCAATTCCCGAGATATTAACTTACCCGTAAAAAAATTTCACGGGGCCGTGCGTGTTACCAGCGGGTACAGGGAAGCTGAATTTAAATTTGCGGGGTCACACGTGGGTGGGGAACGTTCCCCTGAATTTTCAGCTTCCTAGCTTTTGTGGTTCCCGAGTTGAAACTTGCGGACAAGTTGCTGCGGACACACACAAACACACATAGAGACAACCTCGTGACAATATGCGTTTTGTACTACTGTTACACAGCACAAAACGCATAAAAATATGAAGTAACAAGAAATCTATAGTAATAATTAGTAGTTCAAAAAAGCGAAAACTCCGCCGCTTTGGCACAATGTAGGGAACCCCGTACATGGTCTGGTATTGGCTATTGGCAAATTCATAAGAACCCCCCTAAAAGCTACGGTCCTGAAATTCATGCAGCTGTGGTGTTTTTTTTCTTTTTTTTTTAAGTTTTCGTGCACTGATTATCTTCGATAATGAACAAACCTTCCAGGCATTTGGCATAGCATCGACCAAGTCATCGCCATAGATCGACTGCAGCACCAGCCGTTCATCTTCCTGGCGTCTTCGTGCCTCACTGGCCACATCGCTGTTGCCAGTACAACCAGTCTGCCTTCGCTCCCTCATCTCTGTTGCTTCTGCTACAACATAGGTCCAATAACGAAACAAGTGAATGATCGCAGCAATACTACATCGAGCGCTTCGATAGTTAAAGCTGAAAATGAGGAGAGTGCTCGGTGAAATAAGGCAAATTTCATATCTTACCAGCCACCATTCTTTATCAAATTCTATTCTTCCAGCCTTGAAACATATGGAATTCAACTTCCTTCAGTTCTTACAGTCCTCTACCTTATTTTTATGTGATTTTTGCAGCTATGTAATGCAAAAATGCATACTGACAAGGGGTTGTCTGTGTGTCTGTGTGTGTGCGTCTGTCACGCACTTTCATCTCAAGACCTATAAAAGCCGCAGGGCTGAAATTTCGGG